GCCGATTAGCCGCCGACTAATCGGTGAAGCCGATTAATCGGCCTATTTGTGGTCACCGATTAGTCGGCGATTAATCGACCAAAACAGCCGATTAATCAGCTTTTTATTTTATTAATTTCAGCAAAGGTTTTTCGTGATTTTCTGCGTGGTAAGTGTGGCTACATTGATATGAGTAAAGCTTTAAATTTAAGAAAAGTATAGTTTCTCTCCCATGCGTAAACTCACGTCAGATTTATATGTAGGTAAATCAAATAAATAATAAAATAAGTAGGTTCATATGTTATATTGAAAAACCAATCTCTAACATGTTTTAATGTTAATTATTCTGGACGTATAGGAACTTTGGTAAAAAAAATCGATGTAGCTATTTAAATTTAAAACTAAACGAAAACCTAAGTACTTACTATTTTAATTCTACTTTTTAACTTTTTCTAGTCGTAACGCAGAGTAGTAACACAACAAAAATAAAATATTAATAATGATATTCTTAACAAACTTAAAAATAAAATTTTTAAGTATCTTCCTTTGCATAACAAAAAAAACTTAATTCTTGTATAAAGATTGTTTAACTAAATGCATGTAGATTTTTAAAAGACAAATAGAACAATACTTGTTTCTGTACTTAAAACTAAATTGTTATTATTTTTGTACTAAAATTAAATTAAATTGTTATTTTCTGTACGTAAAATTACAATAATTTTTTTTCTTTAATGTTATTAAATAAAGAATCTCCAATCATATCATCATCAACGAATGAGACCTACATTTCCCGAACGCCGCCGAAACAGGGATCGTCTGGGCCGATAAATCGGACGATTAATCGGCCATTTTTTAACCGATTAATCGGCTAATCGGCCAATCGGCCAAAGCACTAATCGGCCTAACTATAAAAATAATGTTATTATAATTTGTCAGGTGTTGTATTGTCTCTTAAAAATATATTTACTTAGCTCATTAACAATTTTGAATCATTGGGAGACCTACAAAAGTGTTAGAAAACTCTTTTGACTTGATAAGAGTGGTTTGTCAGTAATCATACAGCTATATATTTGTGTATATAAAATAGTTTTCATTTCTTCGTAACGCAACATCAAACTCGTATCCCTAAGATGAGTTTAATAATGATAATTTATTACTATTTCTATACTTTGAAAATAATATAATACTGCACATTGAATAAAATTAATTATATTGCGTTTAAATCTTATTATAACTTGTAAGTTTTAACTTATTGTAACTAAGTTTATGAGACCGACCGGTTAGCTATGACGTCAGGATTTTTGACATCCTGACGTCATAGCTAACCCGGGCTACTTCAAATTTTTGGTGTGTTTTACCATAGTAAATTTTTACTATGGTACTACTCAGAACTGAGCACTGAGCTTACAGTGACTTCAGCACACCCGTCAGCGGCACTGCTCATGTGATATCATGATTATAGGATCGATACCTATTTAGAGTGATGAAGATTTCAAGACTTGATTATTTTGTGATAAAACAATATATCGAAAATTCTGTACTTTATTAATAATGTAATTTCTCAGACATGCAGGTTTCCTTCAATGGCGAAGGAATACTTATTTTCTTTGGTGAAGAATACCTTCTCACGTATCAGCATTTTAAAAACTTTATTTTATTGATGCTAGCGGTATCCAGCTCATGTGACAAAGGTTATTTTATTAGGCTCTGCTAAACTTATGAACACTTCACTGTTCTCTTACACATAGAAAAAACATTATTTCATGGCTGTGTATCGTCTCGTGGGTGTCCTAAGAGGCGGACCTAAAGGACTGGAGGGAAACCAAACAGGAAATGGGCAGCAGCATCTTTTTAATAAAACCTTAAACTAATAAAAAAACTGCAGTTAATGACCCGCCTGCTAAGCGTGGCAACTTTGGCAAAATATATTATACTTTTATAGGCTGTAATGGATGGATGGTATTTTCAATAAAATCCATTTCGTTTAACACGCGTAGTACACGACCTGCATAATAATGTATTAGTATTGGGCACCTTCATGACTAACGCCTTCGTAAATGGAAAGAATCATATATCAAGAAACTTTTTGCGGCACACGCCTTGGCCTGATACTGAAGGTTCGTCATAGCTGACAATTCTTTTATAAGACATTAAAACAACTTGGAAACACAATAGAATGACTAAGACATCAACTGCATCCAGCGAAATTATTTATTTGTCACATTTACCTTTTTTTAACTTATTTATTATGGTACTATATCAGTGTTGAAACGCAAAAAAAAACCTTTATCTACCCAAATGATTAAGTAATTAGTGATTATTTTATTGGTGAACAGTAAATGTTATTTTATCTTACGTGGTAGAGTCACGCTGCAGCTATGTATATTCGTTGTAGCACGAAAGGTTTGGCCGGGATAGGACCATGCTTTCACAGAATACCAGCGTGAAATAGCAACTTAAAGTTGCTGTTTTTCGTATGGTGAGTGTAGAGAATCAGACCCCCTTTTTACTGGAAACGAGGCATGCCGTTTTAGTCCTCAGGGGTGTCTCCGCATCTGCATTTTGATTCTTAATTGAGGATGTAGATGTCTATGGGCCACAGCGTCCATTTACCATCCGGTAGACAGTGTGCCCGTCTGTCATTCTTACTCTATAAAAATAGTATATGTACCTACTTACTTCAAGTCAATAAGCACTTATCGCGGTTAATATTTTCAGACTGCATACATACTTGCATACATATTACTTAGTGTAATGTATGAAATCTATTATTAGCAGTTAGTATTGTGTCAAATATTACGTAGACATATTTTCTTAATTAAAAAGTTTTAAGTACCTTCTTCTTTTCACCAAAATCTCCTTAACTTTTCTAGAATGTTTTGGATAGTGGTGAAAAAGGAATACTTATATTGGACAAGCTTTAGTAAATAAAGTAAAATAAATATATAAACACTCACGCCTGTCACCCAGAGGGGTAGGCTAGACTACGGACTTCCATTTGCCACGATTCTGACATACCTATCTCCCCTCCTTTACATCCATATATCTACGCATACACGCAGTAAAATATAGTTAATCTCAAAGCGAAATAGGGCATAGAGGATAAGCTGAGATCAGTTACACCAACTGACCAGGTTTTAGGTCGATTGCGTGTAATTTTAGAAATTAACCAAAGCATATGCGAATGGACTACACAAACTCCAGTCGTTTGTGGGCAAATAACACTAGTCAAACTACAAAAATTGTTAAACTACATTATTCGGAGTGGATCACTGCCAGCAGCAACTTACTTTTATACACAACTTCTCTTCCGTAGTCGTCTGTCAGACTGGTTAGGTAACGTTATACGGTTTGATATTTGGATGTTTAATGCGTCCATGTTGTGCAACATTAATGGCTAACTCCATGTATTGCTCCTAGCTACGAAATTTGGCACCTTAGCTGAAAGCCATCGCTTGACCGAGTTATATTATAACAGGACAATGATGGGCCCTTACAGTATAACAAAAGAGACACGCCTTGAAATGTTGGGGGTTTATTTTGAAGTACTGTCTCATCCACCGCACTCGTCGGAGCTGCTGTACCACCGATGTCATTTTGTCAGTGATCTAGGTAAAATTTGGCCAACAAATGTTTAGATTACCGTCTTTACTTAGGAATCGAGGTACAAAAGTTTTTTTAATTCAAAATCTAAGGTTTTTAGAAACGCGGTTTGATAATTTTACCTCTACGTTAGTAAAAAGTCATAGCATCTGGTGTCGAGTATATTATTTGAATAAAAAGGGTTGCGCGTCCTAACAGCACCTTAGATATATTATTTAGTCGTTAGCTGCAAGCATCAGCATTTTTGGTTATCTTATTAATTTAAATTGAACTTTCAAACATTGAATTGAAGTTTATAGAATATGAAATGGTTTTCTTTTGCGTTTGAAAACATTACAATGAAGTTAAATACATATCTTATATTTTCTTGGCTTCATTTATCTCGACGAAGAGAACTGTAAGGTTTCGCCGTTTCTAACTAGCCTTTGTTCATGTAACGATATAATTTTAACTTGCCCTCGTTACAGTGTTAATTAACAAGTTGCATTAATAATGCCATTGCTGCTATAACAGAAAGTGAACTAATTAATCAAAACACAGGAATAGGGAAAGGAATATATTTACATTCACGTAACGATTGTTGCCTTTGCAATGAAGGTTTGAAGTGAAGCTTGTAGTTTAAGTAACTACAAGCTTCAGTTTCAAAGTTACAAGTATAGTAAAACATACAAATTCCTTTGCCTGGGGAAACTTGTAGTTTTTTTTTTAAAGATAACGGTGGTAAACACGCAGAGAGAAAATAGCTGTGTAGCGTCTAAATTTAATAATAAATAGTAAATCTTCCTTAAACCTTCTGTTATATGTATTCTATGTATATAATATAATGTAGTAATAGTCGAATGACGGATTCGAACCCACGACCTTTTGAGTTCGCAACCTGACATTAAGCTACTGTCGCTTAATGTTGGTACGTTGATGAATTGATGAGCGTAAAGCTAAAACCAACGCACTGGTAATGCTTCTTCTCATAATCTTGGTCACTAGGCTAGTTTTGCTAAGTTCATGTTTTTGAATTGATTTTCTGCTATCAGTTGGTCCATGGAATCTTGTTTAGTCAGCAAGATGCATCAGGTCCGTATTCTTATAATTAGAACACCTGACTTATTAAGTCATGAGTTGTGGGTAAATCACATTATGTATCTGAGCTATTTACCCAAGAGTCTTCATGTCAAGTAAATCGGTCTGCGTGGTTTACTTGCGAGTAATACGTGAGCGAAAAAGACGAAGAGATAATCTTTTTATTAGCCGTCATCATATTTTCATAGATTGTTTATGTTTGTGTATGAAACACGGTTTGAAAGTGTATAAATATGCATTGGATTTATTACAATAAAATCGTTTTATCCGTCCGAGACATTATCAAAGTCATTTTTCTATCTCATGAGCAGTTTGATATATGAACTTCTTTTTATTTTCAGCCTGATGTCATTGCAGTCCCTCGAGCTGAGAGAAAATTTACTCAAATCTCTGCCGGAATCGCTAAAAAACCTAACAAAGTTAGAGAGACTAGATTTGGGCGATAACGAGATAGAGGAGCTGGTAAGTTTATGTTTTCATGTCTGTATGTCGAATGAAACGTACTATGAACGTACGTGATACGCGAAATTACGTTGTGCAGATTATCTCCTATATTTTGTAATGCTAAATGCATCTTTAACTTTGCTTCATGAGCCCGTAACACGCAACTGCTCTGGCCATCGGCCTCCTACAATGAAAGTAGTATTTGCTGTAATCGTTATGTTCGTTAGAATTGACAATCGCTGTACCTGATGTGTTTTGACTTTGATCTTCGTCGCCGAACTGGGGACTTGTCGTCTGGGATATTCTAGATGGCATAGATGTTTCTCGGCTTCCCCATAAACAGTACTTACGACAATCACGAATTTTCGATAATCATAAACATAAACGGCGAGCTGCTTATAATAAGATAATTACAGATGACTAGTATCCTTCGCCATTCTCTAGGTTCAGTCGCAGCGGTGTATATCACTCACATAGTAACTTGCAAACTCATTACCCGGTGTTATCTACAAGAACACAGCTACAAATATAAAAAATTTCTTTCATGTCGATTGTTACCATCGCGTATTTCATTTAGAAAGTAACGAATCAAAGGGTAGGCTTTTATGAAGTGTCTGTAATACTGCTATAATCATAACATATCAAACAAAAAAGACATTAATTTGTATTAGCTGTACAATCTCGGTTTTTGGTGTAATCGAATTCAGTTAACAATTTGTTTAAAGTCAGACATCTTTGGCTATATAAGTCTGGCTTATGTGTGACTTTTTCAACCCTAACGAATTCTCGCCTTATCGTGACCAGATGCTCTACTTTGAGTTGGCAAGCTCACTGTGGGTACTAAGTACGTGAGTGGCCTCTGGCAGTGTAGCATCAGTATAAAAGCAGTGGTGGAAACACGCCTGGGGGAGAGGAGTATATTAGTATGCATCACTTATTCTACTTTAAATAATAATCATTTCGACCGTAAAACCTTAAGATATTAGTGCTTATGCTAATGACATCGTATGGATTAGCGTAAGCGGCAACAATCAACATAATATAAAGTCTTTTCATAGAACCACCTTACGTGAGAATGATGCAAACTGAAATTTAGTGACGCCATTACACAGACAGTTTTTATTTCCCTAATTCCCACGACGATATAACAATAAGCATGCTGGTTGAAAATTTTAAATCATATTCTTTTTTTGCAATTGTCTTTGCTTGTAATTTACAAGACAGAATTCAAAACTTATTTCGATATCAATAAATATATGTTTGGTTTTCAGCCAGGATTCATCGGTGAATTGCCAGCACTCGAAGAGCTTTGGTTGGACCATAATAAACTGCAATATTTACCTCCGGAGATAGGCAACTTGAAGGCGCTCGTTTGTTTGGACGTCAGTGAAAACAAGTTAGAGAAACTTCCTGAGAAAATTGGAGGCCTTTGCTCTTTGACCGATTTACATTTGTCACAGAACATGCTCGAAACTGTACCGGATGGTATCGGAGATCTATCTAAGTTGGCTATACTTAAGTTGGACCAGAATCGATTGCACACTTTAAACGAAAATGTTGGAAGGTTTGTATTTTTTCTATACTCATAGTTTTTTTTTTTGGTTGGGAACAAATATAAAGTAATACAATTTTTGTAATATCTAATTCATGTTTATAATAATAAATTTTCATTCAACAATTGGTAAAATTAAAGATCTTGTAGAACCGAGTTCAATATAAATAAAATGCGAACGTCATCAATATAGTATTAAATACGCATTATTAAGGGGAAATATAATGTCAAATGGCTTAGCAAGATCCTTCGTTATGCCGAAAATATTGCAGCATTCATTTTGAAATAAATATATGGTAAAGTTGAGGATTAATGTTAATGATTATGTTAGACGAAAACACGATTTCGTAAAATTTTCTCGATAGAAAAAAATCCAAAGTTACCTCCAAAATAAACAATAAACCGCTGTTATTCATAAAATACTTTAAATAAGATCATGAAACTTTGCATACTAACTGAACTAACTATAAAGCAGTGCTTATGTTATTTACTTTTTTTAAAATACCATTATTTTCACTGTAAAAAAGAAATTACCTAAACTATCGGCGTCTTGAGCTTGATTCCTGTCGCACCGTTAGTATCGCTTAGGCTTTTGAAGGGAGAAGTTGTGTCGCTTATGATCAGAATACACATTACGCAACAGTACGACGTAAAATTAAAATGGGAAATAACCGTGATAAAAATAAGATTAAAGATAAGGCTTGGCGTTAAGAAACAGGCATAAATATGATAAACCTAATGAAATAAGTGTCTAACGACCTTTCTACTTACAGTATTAGTGATTACAAACATGTCCGTACATAGCATACGACGCGCGGGGAAGTGGGGGGCGAAATTAGAATTTGAGCTGAATTACTCTATCCTCTTAGGGATAACTCAAAAACTACTGGTCAGATCTTGATTAAATTTATATGGGGTCACATGAGAATCATCGGCTTTCAAATAAAAAAAGAATCATCAAAATCTGTTCACCTGAAAAACAGTTCTGAGAGACATAAAACAACATACAGTCGAATTGAGTACATCCTCCTTTTTTTTGAAGTCGGTTAATAAATGTAATATATTTTATTGATACAAATACAAATTAAGAATTAATATTTACCTTTATAGTGTTACTTTTACTTTTTACTTTTTTAGTGTCCATCCATCCACAACAGCCTATAAAAGGCCACTGCTGAACATAAGCCTTCCCATAGAATACAATGGAACATTATACATACATAATACAACGGGGGAGTGGGCGGAACCCGTGTAGTCGCCAAAATGTCACTAACATGTCAATTAACACGTATAAATGTCATCACGAGATTTGCTTTGACGTTACGATCGTTTCCAAATTTCGCATGCAAATTATTTAGAAAATTCCAAATTGCACACTATTTACAAATAAATATGTATTAAAATTTAAACGATTTTTAATGATGACTTGAACATTAATCAAAAGTCTAAAATGTTTGTCTGTCAACACACCGAATCGGGTTTGTAGTAGTGATAATACGACGTAATTGCTTGTATGTGTGCTCCCGACGACGCTGATCCTCGTACAAAATAAGGTTGACAGCCATTCTATTGTGTATTATAGTATTCTATGAGCCTCCCCAATAGATTGCTTCGTAGGATTTTGCCATAGTTGACACGCTTGACGAGCGGGTCAACTATGGCAATGTCAACCGCGGTTTTTTTACTTTCATCCGTTATCCGGAAGATGCTGTTGACCATTACCTGTTTCAATTTCCCTCTATCGTCTCTTACGACACCCACGGGACGAGTATAGGGTAGTGGATATTTTTGTATAAAGATCAAAAATGTAGCATTCTTAAGTGACAAAGGTGATTCTTCCAATAATGATGAATGTTGAATGAGTCCAATAATGAATACCTATAGGCCTCTTAGGTTGCCATAATGTACGGTACTGAGCTACCAGCATGTTTAATCAATACAAGCATATTTATTCAGGTCGTCACTTCGTCTCATTGGTAGTTGCCCAACACTACGCTACAATATAATGTCTGCAAAAGTGTATCCATTACCCCATATCAGTCTGTGGGAATCGTAATAGGTGACTGAAGGAATGAACCAGAACATGGGCAGCAACATCTCCCTGATATCCCAGCTGAATAAATAAAAAAAAAACTGCGGTTGTTGCAGTATTGAGATATAGGGGGGGGCCTTTGAACCACATTTGGCAAGCTCTATTCCAGCCGTTCTCCTGGGGTGATACTATCTAATTACCTATTTATGCTGCAAGGCAGCAGTGCAACCACTGCAATGTTATTAAAAGCTGTGACGCGTTTGATCTTAATCCTTAGGGACGGTATTTTATGAAATTGTTTTCACTTGTCCATAGACTGCTGTAGCCAGTATCAGCTTTATTGTTAGCTCGTTTTTCTCTTAATTATTACAACAGAGTCGACTGAGTCTAATCTATGTGTTTAAAAAAATCACTTGGTCTAATTTTATTCATTCTGTTTACAGGTGTACAAATCTACAAGAGCTTGTTTTAACGGAGAATTTTTTAACGGAACTGCCAAAATCGATAGGGAATCTCAATGAGCTGACTGTATTGAATGTGGACAGGAATTCTTTAGCCGAAATACCTGTGGAGATAGGCAATATGACGTTGCTTGGTGTCTTGAGCTTGAGAGACAACAAGTTGAGCAAGCTGCCAAATGAACTGGGCAACTGTAAATCATTGCATGTTCTAGATGTAAGCGGTAACAGGTACGTTGTTTAAACTTGTTTATTTTCTAATGGAAAACGCTAAAGGGCTGTCTGTGCAAAAATAACCAATTATTGATATTCGGGATAATTACGTTAATGTTTACCTTGCCGATTTCGACTCTTAATCCGAATCCGAATAATGTCGGAGTCAACAATGACAAAGGAAATATTATGTTGCCACAAGTGTAAGCACTAAAACTGTAAAACAGAAACTTCGTGTACTAGGATGCTGCTGTATCGGGAACATAGGGACAAGCACTGCAACCCACAAATCCATAATTTATATTTAACTTGTCTGGTCTTCGTGGATTTCGTTTTCGTCGTTAAAACTTCTGTTTTAAGTTTAATTACATTTTATATGTGGTAGAGCTATGCTGCATTTCTATTAGTAGTATAGTTTTCCGTCAATCATTCTCTCTCTACACCTTTGCACTCTTCTTCCTTTTTCAAGAAATCCTTCACCGTAACCGCTGTGCGATTGTGGAACTCCTTACCTCTCCATATTCGTCGTGCTAAATCTCTTCACTCTTTCAAAAGTCTTGTTAAATCGTATTATTTAGAACGCTATTAGATAAATTACTTTACCTTTCTCGTACTCTTTTTATTTAATCTATTATATGATATTTTATATGATACTTTCACTTATTTTTATTTGTATATATTATTACATTTTTTATTATTATTTTGTATGCCCCCCCTCTATTTTAACTTTTGTTTGCATCATTCCTCTACGCAAAGGTTGTCTGGAAGAAATCACTTTCAGAGTGATAAGACCGCCTATCATCATATTCATCTTAGTCCTCACCGCTAACAATGCATCTGCATTTTGATTTTTAGTCGAGGATACATGTAGGTGTTTATGGGCCACAGCAACCATATCATCAGGTGGACTGTGACATCGTTTGTCACCCTATCCTATAAAAAAATGTTTACTAAACATTGTGTAGGATTCTATGAATAGGTTTCTTTAAATAGCTTGTAAAAAGTATTTCGAATGATATGAGTGCCAACTATTATCTCGTTTTTTGGAGTCATACTCATTATGAAATAAAAAATAAATAAAAAACTATGGCATTTTATGTTTCAAATGTATGATATTCGTTACATTTATTAGTAATTATTGGTAAGCCTAAAAAAGGCCAACCTTCGTGAACTACTGTGGCAGCGTCCTTAAAATTTATGCTTGAATTTTTTCTATCTATTTGCGTTATTGTTTGCTAAGTTTACTGTTACTTAAACTCGAAAGCCTATAAATGTATTATTTGCTGGGTTTTATTAATTTAGTTTTATTTGCTTTTTACTTTTTATAGTTCAACATTTATTATCTATCATTATTTGTGTATGTCTATTGCTAGATATAAGTCTCTCTCAAGATTAATCATCGATGGAAGACGTATCCTTAATCGCACATTTGACTTCTTAGTATGTTACTGCTTAAGACATTTTCGATACCAACAATACTTACAATGTCCAACTTCCGGGCATTTACCTTATGTTTATTAAGTCCTTGAAGTTCCCTTCAAACATTATAGTTTTTACTACTAAACTAAAAAATAATTTTAGGTTACAGTATCTGCCATACACACTCGTCAACTTGGAACTGAAAGCGGTGTGGCTGTCAGAAAATCAAGCGCAACCTCTATTGACCTTCCAAACCGACAGAGATGAAACGACGGGGGAGAATGTTCTCACTTGCTTCCTCTTGCCGCAGCTCAGTTACACGCAGCAGCCGGGTACGCACACAAGAAAAATTAGGTTTAAGGCTTTCTGTTTATTGTTTGCTGTTGGTGTCTCAAGTTTTTCACATAACGATTTTGTTTCTTTTAAATCATATATAATATAACGTTTTGTAAATGAAATTTATTCATATTTTTATATCATTTGCAAAAGTACTTCTGCTTGTGCAAAACACAGAATAAACCATTTTACAAATTGACAAACAAAATCGTCAAGAATTTACAAAGACTACATTTAGCATACTGATTTGCTTTCACTTGGCCACTATAAAAATTCACGTTTCGGATTAGGTGAATGGCGTTAAATATTTATTAGAACAAATCTAATATTTTATATACGTGGTAGAGCCATGCTGCAGTTATATTAGTACTATAGTTGTAGCACGAATGGGTCGGCTCGACCGGAGAAGGGCCACACTCTCACAGAATACCAGCGTCAAATAGTAGCTTAATGCTCGTATGGTGAATGTAGAGAACCAGAGACCCTTTTTACTGGTGGAAACGAGGCATTCCATCTTAGTCCTCACGGGTGACAACGCATCTGCATTCTGATTCGTAATCGAGGATAGATGTAGATGTCTATGGGCCGCAGTAACTACTTACCATCAGGTGGACTGTGTGCTCGTTTGTCACTCTATCCTATAAAAAATATAAGTAAAGTAAAGTTACAGCCTATATACGTCCCACTGCTGGGCTCAGGCCTCCCCCTCATTTCTGAGAGGGTTTAGGGCAAGGAAGTGTCCGCCGCGCTGCCCAAATGCGTGTTGACGAACTTCACATGTCTTCGAAATATTTTTTTTTCTTTTTCCTCAGACATGCAGGTTTTCTCGCGATGTTTTCCTTCACCGCCGAGCACGTGGTAAATCAGCACTTAAAATTGCAATTAACAGTTTCATTGGTGCCGGCGGGGATCGAACCCGGGTTACTCGCGTTCTGTTATATTTACAGCGAGCGTTAACCACTGAGCTACCACGGCTCATAAAAAATATATAAAAATTAATTTTTGTTTGTTCGTATTTTATGCGTTGCCATACCGTTCATAAGATCGCGGTAAAAGTATGTCAACGTATTGCTTGCACTTCCGCGAAGGTTATATGCATAGTTGGACTTTCTTGACGCTGTTGTAGAATCCAGATAACACCCGCGAACCCGGGGCAGATCGTTAGTTAAATATAAAAATATAGGTTATATTTAATATAGTTATATTTAATATTTTTTGTGGAAGAAAGAAAAAACCAACAATTTTCAAAATTTATTTATTTGATTTTTAATTTAAAGTTCCTCTTTGCACACAATTAATCTGTGAAAAATAATTTTTAAGCAATATACTCATCTTGGTTATTTTAAAAAAAATATTATTTATTGTTAAGCAATAAAAAAAAATTATTGTAAATGTAAAAACTTGGTAAATCCAAATGTGCATGCCTTAAGCGCTCATGGTATATGTCAATTTTATGAAGTATTTTAAATATTCACAAGTTTTCACAAGTAACCTTATTACTATTACTTCTAATTTTCCGATAAATTTATTTTAACGGATTCGGACGGAACGAAGGTAAATAGGTCAATGTAAAAATAGCAATTAATCGATTAAAAAAAGTTCATTAATCATTTACCTTTCTGACAATGTGCTTTTTAATCATTTATATGTTTCCATATGATTGTTTGATACGATTTCATGCGACAAAACGTTGGATTCTTGATTTTTAGGCGTTAGTAGAATATACCTACGCGCTTTGCGCTTAAGGCATGCAATAATTATTACATCATTGGAAAAATTTTGTTTGTTAAACGTATGGCACGCGCCACACGCCTCATAATGCGAAGCGTTTGAGGTAGTTCTTTACTCCCGACACGTAAAGGTCAAGAAATTTTTGGGGTATTAAAATGCTTCTATCATAACCATATTGCAATTATATGATAATATGAGTAACCGTATATCAATAAAACACTAGTTAATCCATCTTATATTTTCTAATAAATCATTTTGTATTGCTACAAGACTAAAAATATTTTACGTGGACGTTCGGATGTCAGTACGCTGATTTTGTATGTGATCACGATAATTCCCGAAAAACTAACTTGAGCTTCAGAATAACAGCAACTGGTTCCCTTTTTTTTGATAAGATTAGGGTGACAAACAAGCACACAGTACACCTGATGGTAAGTGGTTACTGTGGCCCATAGACATCTACATCTATCCTCGATTACGAATCAAAATGCAGATGCGTTATCACCCGTGAGGACTAAGATGGAATGCCTCGTTTCCAGTAAAAAGGGTTTCCGGTTCTCTACACTCACCATACGAAACACAGCAGCGTTAAGCTGCTATTTTACGCTGGTATTCTGTGAGAGCGTGGTCCTTCAGCGGTCGAGCCGACCCATTCGTACTACAACTATTACAGTAATATAACTGCAGCATGACTCTAATACGTAAGCTATTTGATATTACCCTTATTTTATATCAATAGCAGCCTAGTACGTGTAGTTTGTTGATAATTTGATTTTCTATTTTTTATTAATACATATTAATGTATCTTCTACCAAATAGTTTTCATTTTATTTTATTTTTAACCCCTTTATAGAGTAAGGACAAATGTACCATACAGCCTACGTCTATTTTATACTTTGTGTTGTTGATTTATTTGGGTAATTTATTTTTTTCATCATAATTAAATGAAACGCTCATGAGGCGTGCCCTTTTGGAATTTCCAAAAAATATTTTATTTTACTGCCGTTGTAAATTAGAGATTCCTCTGACCGAAGAAGAAACTGAAATAAACACCGCAGATACGGGATAGATAGGTTTATTTTATAAAAAAATATAATAATAAAATACCTATATTAATTAGTACTCTATTGTTTAATGTGAAATTCATCGCATCATACCGATCAACCAAGTAACATTCAAAAGTCTTAACAAAGTAAAATTTCAACCTAATGTCAAAAAATCAAACCTGTTTTACCTTAAAACTCTAGACTTAAAAAATATTTTCGAATAATAAATACGAAGATACCGTATAACAGCGATTAAATCTGCGATTGAATACAGTATGCTGAATGTTGTTTATTTTGTACATGTTACATTTTGTTATGATTGTATATTATGCCTATTAAGCTTATTTGCTTCTGTTTTATTATGCGTGTGCTGATGGCTGTTTATGAGACGTACATGATTGTAAAGAATTTTTTTCTAGCCAAATATTTACTAGAACTAGTTAATGTATACATTACAAAGTACTTTTCGCAAGCAGCCATTACTAAATTTGTTTTTGTTTTTGCTGTGTAAATATACTAAAAATACTTTCCGAACATGTCACACCTCAAATAGAGTTGGATCACACATCAGAGGTCGGCAGTGTAACCTGGTTCAGGGATCACAGATTTAATTCACAGTCACAAGAGCTAGATAGGATAAGAGGTAAGTTTCATGTACTTATATGTAATATAAAGACAAACGAATACTTAAGTATTCGGTATTTAAAACAACAACAGTACTATGGTATAAATAATACATCTGGTAATCATAAGATTTGTATAACACACGTGAAATACTGCGTTGCACATAAATGCACTAGCTGCTATTATATGCTTAGCAATCATTTAGTTTTTATTTAGATGATAGAGCTAGCAATTACGTTAAAATCACTTCTTAGAACACATTATTTATTGCACTTGTTTTATATTGAGCACATTGCAGCATTTTAAACTTTTTGGAGCGGTTTCCTTCGGTGAGTATGTACACAATATTACTGTGCAACAATTCCGTGTTATTTAAATGTAGTAGTTAAATAAATTGTTAGCCAGTTAGTGCATATTGACGTCACAAAGTAGCAAATACATTTAAGGCCCATTTTAATAAGCTCATGAATAAGTAATTCATTCTAAATATTCTTTGCCAAAAATCTCAACCATAAAGCTACGTATAAAAATTCACTGCTAATTAAATTTGCCTTCATTTCATTAGCTAGCTTTATAATCTCAATTATTTTCAATCAATTTTTGAAAAAATTAAAATAGCTAAAATTTTTCGTTAGTAATGTATAAATGGTATCTGGATTATTCATTAGGAACTGAACCAGGAAGTTACTTATTTTGAAATACTTAACAAAAAGCCGATAAAAATTGTTATGTTAACTTACTCTGAACTCCCTAAGGCGGTAAGCTACTGCCGCTGGAACCTCTTGCATTGATTGCACAAATTCTCAAGGTTATATATTTGTGAAATTGCTTTATGTAGAACCATTTACGCTAATGGGTCGACTGAATATTACTGAAAATAAAATGCAGATTCTGCAAGCTTTAAAGTGTTGTCAATTTTATAAGTGTAAGACTTGTTGTTTACTGGGTATAACATATTATATTGTTTAATGCTTATGTTTTGTCTGCTTTGTTAGCATTGTAACTATGTCTCTACGTATTTATTATTTAGAAGGTGTATTAATATCTTTTTCTTCTCTAGGCTGCACATGGGCCTCTCCTATGATAGGAAGGAATTGTCGAAATCGCTACACCTGGCTGGCAAAGTATCGATAGCTGTAGATTCCATAATTCGTACATAACAGCCTATCACAGTCCACTGCTAAATATAACATAAACCTTCTCCATAGATTGGCTCATAGGGTCGATTTTTGTCATCGCTGCTACTCTTGGCGGGCGTGTTGGCGATCGTAGTTTTTTATAATTTAAAATTTGTCAACAGAAAGACTTCATATAATTTAGCTGCTATCAAGAATAATCTGCTTTCAGTTCTCATCTGCCGCCTTTACGACGCTCACTGGATGACTTTAGCGGAACTTGAGATTACTTGACAGTTGTAGATTGGTCTTTTGTCTTTGATACTGCTTCCTGAGATTGCTATACCACCTCCATCTATTGAAAGCCATAAGATCTGCTGGAACATTCCCTAAATCGCCTCTCTTACGACACTCACGGGATCAGAAACTGGAGTGATGGTTTCTTTTATGTCATCCTCACTGTATATTACATCTATAAAAATATTAAAGATTATATTGTGCTCCTTATCTTCTCGTCATTACCATCTTTACTTAGTAGAGCCACACTGCAGCTATGGATATAGCACAAATGGGTCGGCTAAACCAGGCTAGTGACTGTAGAGAACCGGAGACCCTTTTTACTTGAAACGACGTATGCTATCTTAGTCCTCAGGGGTGACAACGCATCTGCATTTTGATTCTTAATCGAAGATAAATATAGATGTTTGTGGGCCACAGCGTCCACTTACCATCAGGTGGACTGTGTGCTCGTTTGTCGTCCAATCCTATTAAAAAAATTGTACAGTCCACTGCCACATAACATTCTACAAAACTGCTACGCTTGTCTGGAGGATTATCTATATAGTATGATTTACGTAAGCCTCGCATCTACGTTGCAGTTCTCTTTAAGTTGATGCCGCTAAATTTAGTTACTAAATAATTCATTTATTACATCCTTTGAAAGTCCACTGCTGAAAATACGCCTACCCATAGACATAAACATAATAACACTCACGCCTGTCACCCAGAGGGGTAGGCAGAGACTACGGACTTCCATTTGGCACGATCCTGACATACCTCTTTCGCCTCCTTTACATCCATATATCTACGCATACATGCTCGTCGGTTAAGGGTACTTCTAACGTGGCCCCTTTTCAAAATATCGCCAATTTGGTCGATAAAATTTTTTCTAGGGCGTCCCTTCCCGACTCGGCCGTTCACATCTGCCATATAAATTTGCTTTGTCACTCTTTCCTCATTCATTCTTTCTACATGACCAAACCACCGAAGCATTCCTTTCTTAATCCTGGTCACAACATCATCTTGCATACCACATTTATCTCTTATCGCGCAATTTCTCACCCTGTCATTCAAATTCAACCCTAGCATTCTCCTTAAAGACCGCATTTCTACAGCATTTATTCTACTTTCGTGCTTCTTCTGCCACACGCAGCTTTCACTACCATACATTAAAGTAGGGACTAACACAGCATTATGAATTACCATACGTGCCTTTTTTGACACATTCTGGTTCCTCACAATAGAGTGTAGTGCCCCATTCACTCTATTCCCTGCCTACCCATAGATTGCCCATATATCAGGATCTTTGCCACAGTCCCTATCCCTGGGGTTGGGAGTTACAGTTTTTCTAGTTATCATTAGCTAAACGCTCTTGCCCGTCTCCTCGTACGTTTCCCACTGTCGTCTCTTACGACACCCACGGGATGATAAAGATTATTTGATATTCTTCCACCGCCATTACATTGTTAGGTATTATGTTACAGTCCTCACAATTTATATTGTGGCGTAACGTCTTTGCTCTTCAACAGAATCAAGCGTATCCCGTGACCGGGATTCTGACGACGATTGGGAAGAGAAAGAAGCGTCGCGAACGCATTCTGTCAAGTTCACGGAAGACGTATCAGAAGCTAGAGAGGTGAGGCTATGCTGTTGTAACTTGTTTAGACTTTCTAAGCAGCCAGCTGTAAATTGTCGCTTTACACAAAATACGTATAAAGCTATGCGATACGACATGCCTGTAGGTTTACACAATTATAGTATTCGTCTCAGGGATAGATTACAAAAGGCAAGATCTTGGTTTAGAAACAATGTACGCGGCATATGTTCGAGGCACCGACGTTATTTAGCTATGAGCTCTATTTTTGATGCATTAGAGTAAGATTTTCTACGCAATTGGAAAGTAACATTTTTTGTAATCCAATAAAATATTTTATAGAATTTTTTTAATTGTACTGTGATGGATTCTATATTATATTCTGTAAAAAGGTTTTTCAAACAGTATTATTTATTTTATAATTTGTTAATTTAATAAAATATATTAAATTGTTCTTGTTTTATTTATATTTTATGTTTTGTTGCAGTTCACTTAATTATTGTGATTTTAATTTATTAATTGTTTACGATTTATTAATTGTTTCATAGTTTTGCAAATTAATACATATCATTTTTTGTTAACTATTAATTTGTAATTTAAAAATGTCGTAAGCGCACACATTATTCTATCTTTATTCATAATGAAATGTACGAGAGTATACCTGAGTAAATATTTTTAGCTAGAACTTAGTTGTTAAGAAATTTTAACCATTTTATTATGCTTAACAAACATTCCGAATCGTTTTGATGCCCAAGATATACAATCACGCTTTTTTTAAATAGCTGAATAATTTTTATATGAATAAAAGAGACAGTATTCTTTTAGAAATAATTATTGTTATCAGACATTTTTCAAAATAAATTGAGGTGTTACATTAATTTAGTTATTTTATGTTAGACAAATATTAATTTTATTTATTTATTTTTTATTGCAAAAATCTTCATCTGAGAGTTACTAAGTGCGGACTTCGCAGCTCGATGATTTTAATCAACAGTAACTATCCTTTCAAAAGATAGTGTCAACAGGAGGCTATTTGTACTGATACACGTAATAGTTGGTAAGAACTTTTCAAAGGGTAACATCGGGTTATCTAATAACGAATCAAAGTATAGACATTGTATTCCATTAGGTTTTAAATTCAAACCTCAAAGAACATTATTGTCTATTTTGATGTTTAAACATTACGTTGCCTTTTTTCAGATTTTTGATTGAATTCCAGCCTTAAACTAACGGGCTAGACGTCAACTTAACTAGCTGATTAAATTAATGGGCTGCCTCATATTCGAATTCATTATTTGAATAAAGATTTACTATTTTGAAAAGTAATTTAAAAGATTTTTGAGTCTTTCCTAGGAATTAAATAATTGTGTTTCTTATTATTTATAATTAGTTAATAAACATGTATAATCTGTATATGAAACAGTGTAGGAAAACTCTTCTTCGGGACGCCTTCTGGAAGGGAAGGCTGACGCACACCCGGCAGGGGGAGGTGATAAAATTTAAGTTCGCTCTATAATTTATTTGCACTCCATTCATTTGCCAATTTTTTAGCTAAAATGATTGAACTATGCGTGAAATATGGGCGTACAGCACTCACTCGTAATATATTATAGAAGAATTTATCTTGAATTTTGATGTCAAAAGCGGTTTAGTAATTTAACATTAAGTTAGGTAGGTTTTAGGGTTCCGTAGTTAAACCTTATAACCCATATAGAATCGCTATGTCCGTCTGTCCGTTCGTCCGTCCGTTGGTCCGTCGGTCCGTCCGTTCGTCCAACCGTCCGTCCATACGTCCGTCCGTCCATACGTCCGTCCGTCCGTCCGTCCGTCGGTCCGTGCGTCGTCCGTCCGTCCGTCCGTCTGTCCGTTCGTCCGTCGTCCGTCCGTCGTCCGTGGTTTTCCTCAAGAGACAACAAATGGTGAGTGTAGAGAACTGAAGTCTTAGGTTTACTGGAAACGAAGCACTCCATCTCAGTCCTCACGGGAGACAACGCATCTGCATTTTGATTTGTAATGGAGGACAGATGTAGGTGTCCATGGGCCGCAGCAACCACTTACCATCAGGTGGTCACCTTATTCTATAAAAAAAGTGCTACAAAGCTGTCATTTTACATTGTTATGGATATTAAACACGCCTACAAAGTTAAGAAATAAAATCTTGAATAACGTTTTTATTTTGGATATCTCCCATACAGGTGATTTTTTATACCCGTTTTTTTAATCGTTGGAAAGTATTCTTCAAAAATATTGGGGATATGAAATAACATTTTTAGGGGTCCGTTTGCGAAATATTTAGCTTTAAATTGTTATTTTGTATTAGTCATGTGTGCCCCCCACCCCTATCAACTAGTAATCCCCATACCATGTAATACATACATAAATACTCACGCCTGTCATCCAGAGGGGTAGGCAGAGACTACAGACTTCCATTTAGAACGATCCTGACATACCTCTCTCGCCTCTTCCACATCCATATACCTACGCATACATGCTCGTCGGTTAAGGGTACTCTTAATTTGGCCCATTTTTAGTATATTGCCAATTTGGTCGACAAACTTCCGCCTAGGACGTCCCTTTCGGACTCTTCCATTCACTTCTGCAACATATATTTGCTTTGTCAGTCTTTCTGCATTCATTGTTTCTACATGACCAAACCACCGAAGCATTCCTTTCTTAATCTTGGTCACTGCATCATCTTGCAAACCACACTCTTCTTTTATCACACAGTTTCTCATCCTGTTACTCAGATTCAGCCCTAACATACTCCTTAGCGACCGCCTTTCTACTGCTTTTATTCTACTCTCGTGCTTCTTCTGCCACACCCAACTTTCACTACCATATGTTAAAGTAGGGACTAATACAGCATTGTGAATTGCCATATGTGACTTTTTTGACACATTCTGACTTTTCACAATAGAGTGTAGAACCCCATTTACTTTATTTCCTGCATTCACTCGTCGTTCAATATCCTTATCATATCTCCCATCCCTGCTGAATACACATCCCAAATATACGAACTCATCCACTTGCTCAATTAACTCTCCTTCTATTCTTATTTAACATACTGTTTTCTTTTTTTCTTTTCTTTCAAAAACCTATCACTTTCGTCTTACTTGCGTTCACTTTCATTCCCCTTTCTTTTAATGACCTGTTCATTAATGTAACCATCATTTGCAACTCGGCCGCCGACGACGCAAGTATGACTTGATCATCGGCGTACAAAAGGCATTTGATGGTTAACTCACCCATTCTTAACCTGCATTCTTCAACTTTAGCCCTGTCTGACACCTTTATGGATGCCAAACCAGTCCGAGTAGACCCCGTTGATTTAGCACTCGAGTCCCTATACAGAGACTTTAATGCCTGTATTAAACCAGCGCTCAACCTAAAATGAGTTCAGTGTTTGCCATAACACATCCCTGTCCACTCTGTCATAAGCCTTTTCCAAGTCCATGAACGCACAACAATTTGGTTTTTCGCCAAAAACTTCTCCGCGATCATGCGCATGGAAAAGACTTGATCTGTACACTCCATTCCCTTTCTAAATCCCGCTTGCACATCACAAATTTTTTCATCAGTTTCTTTCATAACTCTTTCAATTAGTACCTTAGCATCAGTTTTCCCACAATGCTAAGAAGGCTGATACCACGGTAGTTTTTACAGTCCTGCTGGGACCCTTTTCTCTTATATATTGGGACTATCACGGCTATGCACCAGTCTCCCGCTTTAGTTCCCAACATAAACAAGGTGTACAGCAGGCCTGCCACCACGTCCTCTCCAGCCCTTAGCATTTCGAGTGAAACTCTATCATATCCGGCTGCCTTACCTACTTTCATGCTTTTCATTGCTTTCATTATTTCATCTATACTTATCTCTCTATATCTCTTTCATCTTCATTCGGAATTTCTATTTCATTTACTTCCATTTCTGTAGACTCAACATTTCATAATTCAGGATACAACAGCCATTCTCGTCTCGTATCGCATTCAATCTAGGCTGTTTTGAATTTTTGGTATTTCTTACGAGTTTCCAGAACATTTTAATATTTGACTTGAAGTTATCCGATATTCTTCTATCATTCTTATCCGTTCTTTCTTGCTTTTTCCTTTCAACTAACTCTTTTACTCTCTTATTTAGACGTTTAAACTCTGCCTTTTTTCTTTCAATCTCCTCATTCTTACCGCCAGAATTACCAGCTTTGGTCGCTAGTAAATCTAGCCATGCTCTCTTCTTTGCTTCAACTTCCATACGTACCTCATCATCCCACCATAACGTATTGTCTTTCCTTTCATTCGTTCTCTTACCAACACCACATACTTCGGTAGCTGCATCCACTAAACCTTTCTTAACATTATGCTAGACATTCTCCAAGTCTAACTCATTCACACACAACAACCATCTAATAGTATATTATATAATGAAGTTAAAATATAACTATCAACTAGCTACAAACTATTAACAAGTTAACGAGTAACAATATACCAACTTATAAAATGCACTTGGATTGGTAAAACTTTCGTTTACAATTTTATAGAAAATGACTTAAAACTTATAATAATATTACATAATTCTAATGGAGCTGCATTATTATTTTAAACTGCAATAAAAAAACATTTTTTAAGAAAACGACTTATGCATTGTCCTTGGCGGGGTAGGCAGTGAGGAGTCAAGAGACCGATACTGACAGATCACTTTCTTTTATTTTTAGTTAGTAGTTATTGTAGGCCTACAGTTTCATTCGTGGTACTCTTAGTTTACGCGGGTGTCGCTAAGAATAGTTTAGGGCAGTGGTGGTTTACGGGGAGGTTGGTTACGGTCGTGTATGTCTTATATTTGCACTGCAAGGGACTAATAGAAGGATGTGACCATTTTTGTACGGATTTGGCATGTGGACAATTTCATGTTGATTGTATTATTTTTAAGGTCGATAATTTTAAATCTTTTTTTGAATACCAGTCCCTATAAGTCTGCTACGAAAATAAGTCCTTTGGGCATATAATTTAATCGCTATAACAGTCAAACCGCGGACTTAATACGCTCAT